CTCAATTTGTCTTTGTGTAAATGAATCTGATTTCTACTTGAGACCCAGACCAGTCATTAACATGTTTAATGGCTCAGCGGAAACAACTGTCCCCACCCTCAGGAAGCCCATTGTTGTCTTAGCTGTCCTCAAATGCGTGTTACGTTGATTAGCACACGTCTGTGAAAGTCATTCTGCTTTGATATGGATGTAACTTGTATTTCTGTATAAATACTCAGAGCTCAAATGCTCTGGGGCAGAGACTAGGGAAGAGACAGGTCAAATGGCAGCGCAGGCCTAGACCCTGTCCATATCTGTTGTAACAAGAATAAACCTTGGTCTGTATTCCAAAAACTCATCAGGCTTTGCAAATGGATTAATTATTTATCATCAAGTGGTGTATATATATATTTTTTTCCACAGCACTAGAATAGTACTTTTTAGGGGGTTAATTCTGCTTCATGGTTTGGTTTAAATATTATCGTTTATTGTCTATGTATTGCAATTGAAAATTTGTTATCGTGACAAAAATTAAGAGAGGGGACAAGTATCTTAAAGGTGCATTGTGTAACTTTTCTGGTGGAGAATCCGTTAAATACTTCTGTCCATGGGTATGTTATTGCTTTGTCTGGAATGTTTCACAGTATGGTGTTAAACCTTTCTGTCACCACGGAGACCGAACCAGACCAGGTTACAAGTCAGATCTATGGAGAAGTGATGCCGTTTGCAATCAGAATCCGTGTTTTTTCAGGTATTTTTGAGCTATAAAACCATCTGTAATTGAATAAATGTAAAGTAGAGCTGTTTAATGTCATACTGTGGAACATTCCAGGTAAAGCAATGACATATACATAGAAACAAGAATGTGTGAGATGACCCGCTTAGCAAAAAGTTACACAGTGCACCTTAAAATTAAATAGACACAGGATTAAGAAAATTGGAGCACAATATTGGCATGACTCCTTTTGGTTGGTTATTTCTCAGTCCGATTGCATTAAAACGGCACCATTTGTTCTGTGTCAGGAAATCAAACTCGATTATCAAATGCCAGACTTAATGCCGCGTATAAACTTGTAATGGTTGTCTAGACGACCATTTTCAGCCATTACTTTACCTAATGAAACGATTACATGATGACATTTTAGACTTTATCATGTTTACTAAGACAACATTTAAAGGTCCCATATTACACTGTTTTCTGATTGATGGTAAAATGATTCTACCTCGATACATAGGCCACAATACGATACATACCTGGATACATAGGCCACGATACGATACATACCTGGATACATAGGCCACGATACGATACATACCTGGATACATAGGCCACGATACGATACATACCTCGATACATAGGCCACGATACGATACATACCTCGATACATAGGCCACGATGCGATACATACCTCGATACATGGACCATGATACGATACATACCTGGATATATAGGCCACGATGTGGTACATACCTCGATACATAGGCCACGATATGATACATACCTTGATACATAGGCCACAATACATATCTCAATACATGGACCACGATACGATTCATACCTCGATACATGGGCCACGATACGATACATACCTGGATACATAGGCCACGATGCGGTACATACCTGGATACATGGGCCACAATACATATCTCAATACCTGGACCACGATACGATACATACCTGGATATATAGGCCACGACATGTGGTACATACCTTGATACATAGGCCACAATACACATCTCAATACATGGCCACGATACGATACATACCTCGATACATGGGCCACGATACGATACATACCTGGATACATAGGCCACGATGCGATACATACCTCGATACATAGGCCACGATACGATACATACCTCGATACGTAGGCCACAATATGATACATAGCTCGATACGTAGGCTACGATATGATGCGTACATACCTCGATACGTAGGCTACGATATGATACGTACATACCTCGATACGTAGGCCATAATACTTTAGATAGAGATACTTTGATACATGGGCCACTATACCTCGATACATGGACCACGATATGCTAAATAACTTGATACATAGGCACAATAGGATACATACCTCGATACGTAGGCCGCGATATGATACATACCTCAATACATGGGCCATGATACGACACATACTTCGATACAGTGAGCTTCGATTCAGTACGATTCAATGTGATACAGTTCAATAAAAAATAATGCTAACTCATGGCTGTCTTTGCACAAAAAGTGGTTTAAAAAAGTTCATATGAAACACACCATATTAATCATCAAAAGCTGAAAAAGTCAAATTTGTTGCATAAACAAATTTCCTTCCTCTAAACAAACAACAAAACTGTAGCACTGTGACAACATAATTTAGTAAAATATACCAAAAAATACTCTTGGTGATATATCGATACAGCAGCCTACGTTATCAATATTGTCTCCTCACATTAAACAATACGATACATCGATATTTAGATATTTTTTCACACTCCAGGAAGTGCTTAACTGCTTTTTTTTTAAACTCCATGCACCTTCACTAAAATCATTTGGGTAATTTCAGATCTGGAATTGACAGTCTCTTCTAAAAAACAAAAAGTAAAAGGTGGTTGTTAAAGTGAAAACTAGTACTTGATTACATCACAAGGTGGAGCAGAGCATTTTGAGCTTTGGAGATGTAAACAGACACAGATACAGGGATATTCAAAAATGTGTAAATGAAACAAAACACAACTCCAAGTATGTTTTTGATGAGGTAACAACATTATAACCCGAGTCATTTTTGTGTAATATAAGACCAGCACAACAGCATAAATTCAGAGTTACAAATTGGCTGCTTGTTTTGAACTCCACTGACACGGCCTGTCTTGTATTATTGTGTTTTATTAGGCATTTAGTTTGCTCGTGCTGTCCATAGAGATATAATGGAAGTTAAAGTTGCTGTCTGCGCACTGTGCTCACTGTAGCACTTCCTGTTCTTACTGTTCTGCTGACCTAAAGCCTTTGCTGTGATTCTGTGTCACTGTTTTTTTTAATTATTGTCTAATACAAATATATAACTCTGGACTTTTCTAGAGAAGGTTATGCGGATTTAAAGTATGACAACTTCTAAAACTACTACTACAACTGCTTCTTTTATTTCTGCTTCTTCTACTACAGCTTATTATTAGTATTAAAGTGTGTATAACAGAATTTTTATGATTCTCAAATTTTTACTTAATTTGGTGGGATTATCACTATTGTAAATAAAAATTATTGGAAGTGGAGAGTTCTAAACGCATCACACAATGGAGAAATCTATCCAAAAGTTTAGCAGTTTACACACACACAAAATGTTAAACAAAATAAAGGTGTAGTCTTATATTTTGTATTTTTATTGACAGATAATAATTTCTGTGTAGCTACATGAGGAGTTTTTCTAGGTAACAGTTGGAATTCCCAAGTGTGATGTCACGATTTCCAAGCAGGAAGCAAAATTTTAAACAGAAAAATATTAAAAATAATGATCTTAAAGGTGCGTTGTGTAACTTTTCCGGTGGATTGTTCATCAAGCGTTTTTTCTCCAGAGTTATGCATGTTATTGCTTTGTGTGGAATGTTTCACAGTATGGCATTAAACCTTTCTCTCTTCATGGAGACCATGTGGAGAGGCGACCCCATTCACAGTCAGAATGTTTGTTTTTCTAGGTATTTTTAAGCTATAAAACCACCTGCGATTGAATAAATGTGACCTGTTTAATGAACATTCCAGGAAGTGCAGTGACATATCCATAGAAACAAGCGGGTGACAGACACAGTGCTTCTTTAATTAAAGTATTAAAGTACGTGTTTAAAAAATATACTTAGAGTAAAAGGTAAAAGTATTTCATGTAGACTTCCTATGCAGCTTCAAGTCTAGAGATTTTGATACAGATTTGTGCTGAATTTTGTTTAAGCGAAGCTATAAATACTCCTTACAACTCACCATTATGTAACAGATAATACTCCCTACACCTGTACAACAACACATCTTTATGTAATGGATAACAATATGTCCTGTCAGTCATCATATTGTTGCACAGTCTTCCTATGACCTCTTGTACAAAGCTGTGATTTTTCATTTTATTACTTATCTTTATATTTTATTTTGATTTGTACATTTACATTTATATAATTATGTCTTATTTGACACCTGTCTCTTGCCATCTTTTTTTGCTACTTATTTAGCCCTATAAAGCCTAACACGTGAAATAATGGACCGAAAATTCAGATCCTGTGATATTTAACTATTTATTGAACCTTTCAACAAAATGTAAAAAAATAAAATAATATTAATAACTTTGACCATTTTATAAATAAAAAATGTATCATATTCGATACGTTCATAGCCATTTTATAGAACCCAACCATGTTTATTTTAGGACCAAATTAAATTCTCTTTCATGCATTTAATCTTAATCTTTTCTGAACATTTCCTTATGTTTGTTTTTAAATGTCTGAACAGGATGATTTTTATTTTGCCACATAGTTTCTGTCCAAGTTCACGCACAGATGTACATTACATTCCCCACAGTACATGTGTGTGAAATGATTATAAATATATGTAAAAAAATAAAAGTAAAATATTGATTATGTGGGTGGGCAGAGGTCTCAGAATGTTGTGTATCATATATGATACAAATGGCATTAGAGGGTTAGAATTTATTATTACCATTTATATTTTTGCTTTACTGTGATGTGTGAGCTACTGTGTCCACATAATTTCACTTGTAGATCAATAAAGTTTGTCTAAGTCTAAAGGTAAAGCTATTGGATGTCATAATGTGGAATGTTTTAAGCAGAGCAATGACATATCCATAAAAACAAGCAGGTAACGGAGCCTCCACCAGAAAAGTTACACAGTGCACCTTTAACTGTTTTAGTAAAATCAGCAGTGTAACACGTCACGTGCGCTTTACCATGCATCTTGTTGTAATGATCTTCTGCACAGTCTCTCATTGATTCTAGCGTCTAATCAGTGTCTGTGTGTGTGTGTGTGTTTGTGTGTGTTTCAGATGTATGGGCGCTACACCCAGGAGCTGGGGGTGTACGCCAAAGAGGAGGCAGCTCGCATCAGGGAGAGCGGACAGAGGAGGTCGCTGAGTGAACGCAGTCTGCACGAGTACAAGGGACGCTGTGCCAAGTGTCGCAGTAAGTCTCCAAAAATACTACACATACTACAGATACTACACTACGCCTGTCATGATAATTACTAGAAAGACTTATCGTTTAATATATGTAAGCTGGAACTATACTTTTGAGGATTTAATATTAAAAACGACGTACTAAAGTGCTTCATTCATTTCATTTATTGCAGATTTTTTTTCTTTTTTTTTTCTTTTTGAAGAATATTGTAGATTTAGTTTTTTGGGATAATTCTGCTTTTGGGTTTTTGTGTCACTGGCATAAATCTGTTTCAATATTATAATTTTTTCATCTATATTTACTTCAGCAATATACATTTTGTTATCGTGACAGGCCTATACTACACACAGACACTTTGCAGTACATTACAGTAGTGGCAGAGTGGTTAGCACGCGTATATCACAACAAAAAAGTCCCATTTTTAAATTTTCATTTGCCAAAACTTTCCAGGTTTTTATGTGGAGTTAGGCCTGTCACAAGAACTAAATTTAAAGCACAATATACTGCTTCAGGGAAAACAATAAAACAATAAAATATTATATTGAAACTACTTTAAGCCACTGACACAATAAGCAGTAAAGCAAGACAATAAAGAATAAAAGTTAATCCCAGTAAACCATTTTCAAGTACTATGACAGTAGGCACTATATAGCTTTTTGGTTATTTTTCCGTCAACTGCTTGTTTCTATGAATATATCATTGCTCTGGCTGAAATGTTCCACAGTATGACATTAAACAGCTCTACGTTACATTTATTAACTTATAGGTGGTTTTATAGTTTAAAAATACCTAGAAAAACAGACATTCTGACTGTGCCTCTCCGCAAATCTGACCTATAACTTGGTCTGGTTTGGTCTGGTTTGAAGATAGAAAGGTTTAATGCCATACTGTGAAACATTCAAGGTTGTGCTGTGGTCCAAGACAAGAAAAATATCTGATGAAGGCTTTTTTTGCCGAAACGTTATTTTGTTAATAAAAAAGTATTTGGACATCGGCCAGCCGAGTGTGCTATGCATTTTTTCACCCTGGTCTGGCTACTCCTTGCATTTGCACCTCTGCAGGAATCTTGGTGTGCGTTTTCTGTTTCTTTTGAAACATTCCAGGCAAAACAACATCTCCATGGAGAAAAAGCATTTGATGTACCCTCCACCAGAAAAGTTACACAATTATCAGTTCACTTATTCAACTAAACAACTAAAATAAGAAAAATCTTCCCATTATTGCAAAGATAATTTATATAGTAATTATGTGGAGTTTGCATGTCCTGACTATGCATGGGACGACAGAGGAATTTTGTATCAGGTTTTCATTTATTTTGTCTCATCTTGTAAAAATTTGGCTTGGAGCTGGCGTCAGTAGCATTAACACACAGAGATACAGTGACAGAACATAACGAACTAAAAGAAGTAAAGTAGCTATCTGTACTTTACTTAAATACACTTTACAGTGGATATTTTGTTCTTTTACTTCACATTTGAGAGCTGGTATCTGTACTTTCCACTCCACAACTTTTTTGAACAGAACTGAAAATAAAAGTTTTTATTTGTATACTGTTCATCATAAAAAGTACAAGATTTGTTCAACAGAAACAACTGAAACTGAAACAAATTCAACACAAATCTGCACCAAAATCACTACATTTGAAGCTCCATTAGATCTCCAAATATGTGTGAAATACCTTTACTTTTTTTTTAAAGCACTTTTTTTAAACGGGTACTTTAACACTTTTTTACTTGAGCAGTTTTTTCACGCTATACTTGATTATTTTTTTGCTCCAGTATCTGTACTTTTACTTAAATTACAAAATTGAGTACTTCTTCCACCACTGCACAGACATAAAATGACATAACAAAAAACAAGAAGGTACAATTAGACAATATACAGTATTATCATGTCCAGAATAATTGTGATTAGCAAGAATATCACAGTAGTTACTGGTACTCAAATTGTTGACAGTCTAAACATGTTAGGGACTTTAATAGTTTTAGTTCAAATATGGAACTGATCATAATAGTTAAAGAGCTATTCTTGTATTTTACTGTTATAAGTGAAAACAACAGAAGAGAACATGCATGAGTAGCTTTTTCTGCAGAATCTGGTGATACAATGGTGATTACAAGTTGACAGTTAAAGATATATTACACCAAATGTTTTTTTTCTGAGCTTTAAGTCGTGTTATAATGCTGTTACCTCCTCAAAAACATACCTGGAGTTGTGTTTTGTTTCATTCACATATGCTTGAGTAACTCTTTATTATTAGTCTGTTTTGAGCTTTTGGAGATGTAAACCCTCTGTTCCACTTTGTGATGTTATGAAGCAGCACTTTCCAAGTTAAAACTACCTTTTTACCTTAACTTCAGCAGAAATTGGAAATGGAAATTCCAGGAATGAAAATCTCCAAATGATTCTAGTAAAGGTGTAGGGAGTTTAAAAACACATATATGCAGGGTTTGTGTGTTAAATGTGTGAATGAAACAAAACACAACTCCAGGTGTGTTTATGATGAGGAAACAATATTATAACACAGATAAAACAAAAACAAAAAAACAGCACATTATGGGCCCTTTAATATAATGATACTAAACGATTCTCTTTTACCTTATGTTCTAACTGTGTCTTGGGGGACAACCTCTGACTTCTTATCTATCAACTTGCAGCGTAACATACCATAGGCTATCTATCTAACTAATAGGTATTCCTCAAATTTAATGGCTTCGAGCAGAGGTGTCAAACTCAAATTCACAGAGGGCCAAAATTAAAAATGTGTGTCAAACTAAATATTTACAGAAAATTTTCAATAACATCTGCATGTTTTCTCCTCTGTCGAGATATGTAGTGTTAAACCTTTTCTTATTAAAATAAATGTTTAGTAATAGTTTTGCTTAAACATTGAATCCAGAACAAACATAATATAAAATAATAACAACATTTTAAATAAATAATGTCTCTATAGACAGCTCTAATACATATTTGATAGGATCTCATGGGCCAAATTTGGTCCCTGGGCCTGAGTCTGACATGTCTGCCGTAAGCCAATAATCGAAGTACTGGGTATTCCTCAAGTTAATGGCTTTGAAGCTGAAGATGAGTCACTGGGTGCTCTGTAGTCGCCCTCTACTTCTAACAGAGAGCACCCAGCGACACTGAAAGGTGGGTCAAATATAGATGAACAATTTTTATGGAGAAAATACTGTACTGGATCAACATAATCTACAGATATCAATAGAAAAAAAAAGTCTAGGTAATACCAGTGTGTAGTCAACTTGACCTTTAAATATTAACTTACATTTTTTTCTCACATTTTTTGCAGCAGTTATTAGAATTTTTGTCTATTAAAATTAAGGACTTAAATGTGTATTTTGTACCTTTTCTGGTGGAGGATCAGTCAGACGCTTTTCTCCATGGAGATGTTATTGCTTTGTCTGGAATGTTTCACAGTATGGCATTCAATTTTCTATCTTTCTGTCTTCACGGAGACCAAACCAGATCGAGTTATAGGTTGGCATCTGTGGAGAAGCAACCCTGCTTACACTCAGAACGCCTGTTTTTCTAGGTATTTTTGAGCTATAAAAACACCTGTTATTGAATAAATGTAAGTTAGAGCTGTTTAATGTCATACTACGGAACATTCCGGGCAGAGCAATGACATATCTGTAGAAAAAAAGCAGGTGACGGACAAATCTTCAACCCAAGAATTACATAGAGCACCTTTTAATAGTGGGAAACCTCTTATTCTGAAGTGCTGTGTATATAGGACACCCTCTACTGGTCAGACAGGCGCATTACAGCCTCTAACCACATAACATGGAGCTGTGTGCGGGGGTACAGGTTTTACCGGTGACTCATCTCCACTACCACCTTCTCCTCTCCACCCACTGATCCTACTGTATTCTCAAAACACCAGTACGAATATCAAATCATAAGTAAAACATGACTCTGCTGTGAATGAATAAAACACGAGTCCACCAGCTCAGATTGTAAGTGTAAATCTCGGTTTGATGCAGGGACATTAGTCTTTGTACTGTGCTGGTGCTGCAGTTGTAAAAAAATAAAAAATAAAATAAAAAATGGGGGAGAGCTTTGTTACCCATTCCTCATCTAAAACTTGTAAAACTCAACTCTTAAATCTTAGCATCTTTTATTATTCAATCATATATTTATAGGAAAAGAATACAGTAATACTTCTGCACAGACTGAAGGATTTGTTGTACTTTTTTTTTGGTTTGGTTTATTACGATCGCCCATAGTGTAATCTTCTTAAATAATCATTAAAATAAAAGCGTGTTATAATTTAGGGCTGGGTATCATTATGAAGTTGCTGATACGATACATATCTCGATACTTAGACCACGATACGATACATACCTCAATACAGCGCACTTTCAATACGATATGATATATTTTAAATTGATTCGATACGGTTCAATAAAAAAATAATGGCTAAATCATGGCTGTGATACTTAAAGTCTTTGTTAAACTGTTTCCTTACAAAAAATGCCCATTTTAATCGTCAAAATGTTTTAATCGTGAAAATGTCAGATGTGTCGCATAAATGAGTTTCCTTAATCTGAACAAGCAAAAAAACTGTAGCTCTGTAATAAAATAATGAGTAAAATATACGAAAAAATACTCTTGGAGATATATCGATACAGCAGCTCATGATATCGATACTGTATCATCACATTCAATGATACGATATATTGATTTTTCAATATTTTGATATTTTTGCACACCCCTAGTTACAATTACAATGCTGAGAATAAAAATGTGTAGTACCGTATTTTCCGCACTATTAGACGCAGACGGATTATAAGGCGCACTGTCATTAAATGGTCTATTTTCGAACTTTTTTCACAAATAAACCGCACCGGACTTTAAAGGAAACACAACAGTTGGATGGGTCAGTGGTTTTGTTTGTTTGGTGCGTTCACGGTGACTCTGGGCTTTGTTCAGTTGTGGCGTGTAGGGAGGGTGCTGTCTGGGATCGCTGGATTATCGGCGTGTTC